ACATATATATATATATATATATATATATATAGAGAGAGAGAGAGAGAGAAAGAGAGAGAGAGAAAGAGAGAGAGAGAAAGAGAGAGAGATATAATGCTTGTAAATAACCTTGTATATGAGAGGTTTGTAGAAAAAAGGAAACAATGGATAAAAAGTATAAAATAACAGCAGAAAAGAATGAAAGGAAAAATAAAAAAAGGCTAGAAGTTTGCAGAAAAATAGAAATGCTAAAAAGTATAATTCGTGAAATAAAATGTCTTTCAAACAAAAAAAAACACACAATTAAAATTAAAAAGAAAAGAGAATAAAAAAAACGAAATAAACAGAAATTAATGTAATATAGTAATGATTAATAAAATAAAAAAAAAGAATGATTCGGAAATAAAAAGAAAGTATAAAAATTGAATCCGTGATAATAAATTAAAAATATAAAAACAATAAAACGATACATAAAAGAACTAAAACAAAGAATGGAAGAAAGAAAAACGAAGAAATATTTTTTAAATCTTCATGAAAGAAAGAAAAACAGAAAGAAAGAAATTGCATTTTTTTTTAAAGAACAAAATCTTTCATTAATGTACAGTAGTGTGAAGAGGCATTAGTGAGTCCTGCCTTTCTAACCACATCTAAATTATTAATCGTCTGACAATGATGTTTTAGCACTAATTGCTACTTGAAGACCCGAGCGGCCGGGCAGACAGCTGGCCGATTATTCACCAGACGGCAATGTTACAATTGCTTCGTTTCCTCCTGTCGGGCAATTTACTGAAAGCGGAAGGAACAATCGCTTACATTTTCTCCTTTGACTTACATCCACTATACCAGCTTCGATTTGTTTTTACAAAACATATGTATGCATCATCATTGCAATCATTCCTTCCTTTTCTCACTTAAGGATTAGCAATAATTGTAAAGTTCATTTTTTTTCCACTGTCCCCATCTTGAACGTGTAGTTTTGTTAAACAACTATATCTATGCATGAAACTTTTTACTTTAATGGAGTGTTCCGTTTTGGTCTCCGGGTGTAATAATCTTCTATTTAACTGCCTATCCATCTAGTTAGCTAGCTTATCTATTTTTCTCTGTTAGATTTCCGCACCTTCACTTCGCTTAACACCAGCTTGTAATAGCGACAAGTTTTGTTTTTTTTTCTTTGGGCAAATCTTATATTAAATTCCACCAAACCACGTGGTGGCCCCCACACACATGATCCAGTTAGTGGAATGAGGGCTTTATTTCCATTTTCTGTACAAAGAAAATACTAAAATTAATAGCAGCACTAAAACTGATGTAATGGAATAACCTGTCACCCCCCTGAGTGACCACTATAGGTAGTAACTGACTATAAGTATCTGTAAGTCAACGGAGTACAGAGACTTTATGTGATCTGTTCTAGCTAGACAGTTGAACTCTCTGTCTCTGAGCAGAAATGTACCCGAACGAGACTCAGCCGAAGGGCAGAGTTTCGTTCGGTGAGGTAGACTGCCCTTGAACCCGCATAAACGGGTTCAAAAAGAGAATATTTTTAGCCGAGCCAACGGGCTCGGATAACTCCACGTTAAACCGGCCTTGTGCCACACGCAACCCTCGTGGGGGGGGGGGCTAAAAATACTTGCTGGGATCTGTTCTAGCTACACGGTCGAACTCTTTACCTCTAAGCAGAGGGGAACCAAGACGAGGCTCTGCCGTAGGGCAGAGTCTCGTTCAGGGAGGTTGACCAAACCGATCCCGTTTATGCGGGTTCTACAGTCATTTTTTGACGTAAAAACTCGGCCTTGTGCCACATCTACCCTCGTGTCGGGGGTAGTAAATATCGACTTTCTGAGATTTGTTCCAGCTAGATGGTCGAACTCTCTGCCTTTGGGCAGAGAGGAACCCGGACGAGGCTCTGTCGAAGGGAAGTAGACACACCAGAACCTGTTTATGCGGGGTTACGGGGAATTGTTGGCCGAGCCTACAGACTCGGATTGCCCCACATTGAAATCGGCCTTGTGCCACATGCTTCCTTGTCGGGAGGCAGGTAAATACCGACTTGCTGGGATCTGTTGAGTACGACTCAGACTTACGCGAGAACAACCGACTTTCCAATAGTAGCACTCACTACTGGATTGATTTGCGACAACCTTGTGCATAACTGTTACTTTTATTCTTATTGTACTGATTTTTACAATAAACTTTTACTTATTTTATCCACTTTGTTTTTCAAGTATATATTGCTATTAGCACGGGATATAACAAAACCTAAAAGCAGTATTAAAACTAAGAACTAGATGAGATGTCGCTAGACATGTGCAGTGGAACGTGAACAGTCTGACCCTGTAGATTATGGCTACTCAAATTGACATATACCTGATGATGGTCAAAGGACACAAGGACCGTAACGCTGTGATAACAGCAACAAGAATAAGGACTATAGTCCGACTGTAAATAGTGAAAATTAATATAACTCTTCATCCAAGAAATTCATATATTAATTACAGAAAAGTGTATACAGAAGCAATTTCAACATCTCGAGTGAAAACAGTAAAAAGCTTTCTCCTGTATTTGGTGAGAGGATCCACAGTATATTTTCTTTCTTCTTGAATTATATTTCCAATGTATAGCTATATAGATATAAATCATCTACGTGTTCAATTCAGTTTATTTCGAAAGTTAGCCATACCTCTGGCCTCCTATTTCGACTAAAAAATATATTTTTCAGTAAAGAAGAAATAAGTTCGTAACCATGCATATATCTATTAGATAAATTTTCACCTGGATGTGAAAATACGTCATTAACATGCACTCCTGAATTAAGCGCGTTAACAAAAAAGCTGATTGCTGAAAAATAAATATACGTTACATGAAATAAAATATATTTGTTATTCATTATATGAAGAATTTATTAATGAATACCCATACAATTTTACAGTATGGTTCACCCTGTAAAGGCCCAAGGGCCACTCGAGGTAGAGGGTTACGTTAAGGGGTAGTTTATATGAATAGAAGCGGAAGATAACGATTAGATGTGAACAGGTTAAGATTGTTATGATCGGGGAAACACTCTCTTGGGAGTCTGTTCTATAGGACAGTGGTTCACAGTAAGAAGCTGTTTGAGTGGAACTTCGGAGGGAATGTAGATAGTTTGCTACTATATAAGTGACATGGCGGGTCTTAGCCGTAAATGTCAAACATGGTGGAACCAGGAGATGCAGTTCGTCCGAGCACTTTCCATGGTAGCAGCAAGAGATTCGCCACATCTCGTTTGTGGGGGAGAGGTTGGCAGATGGAAAATAATTCTTCTCCCGCAAGGACACGGAGACGATTTTGAACTCTATCAAGACTGGAAAGTGAAGTCTGATGTATAAACATTTGATCCCTACTATAGAGCTCCTATAGTAGTGTGATATATGTCTTAACTCAGATGACACCAAAAGAGACTTTGCACTCAGTGACTATTGTTACAGTTTTTTTGTGTGTGTATATATATGTAACTAGTGAGTTAGTCAAAATGACTTAATTCCCTTTATAGTCTACCAATAGAAGATTAACCAATCAGAAGCCGCAGAACATTGTATCCGTCGTGTATAAAGGCGGCCATCTTTGTTTTTCCTACCGGAATGACCAGTGCCAACTTGTCAGGCGAACATGACAGAAGGAAGAACTACGCCCGGCTACTTTGCTGCGATATCCACTGCGAACCTGAACTACGCTTTCCTACTGTCTCCAAAATATTCACTGCCAACCTCTGGATTCTATACTCGAAGACGACCGTCATGAATTTGTAACAACTATAACAGAAGAATAGTGCATCAGAGATTGGCTTTAAAGATAACCTTCTGGCTGTCAAGTGTAAATCCACACTTTCAATAGATGTCAGAGATTTCTAGTAACGTGCACATGTGGGCTGGCTGAAGACAAGAGGAAGTAAACGCATCAATCGTGATGGAAGATGTAGGGAATCTCTTACATTATAACAAAAATACAAAATTCACTTTCGGTGATAATCCTAAATCCAAAGAACTACCGTAATTGGGCAAGTTCAGAGTTTTTTTGTTTTTTGTTTTGTTTTTTTTTTTTTTTTGCCCCTAGCACGCAAAGGGTTACAGACAGTTGGAGCGAGAGCAAATAGAAGTGATAGAGGAAAGGATGGGAGATTTAGATTTGTGTTAATATTAGTCTGTACAAAGTTGACATAGATGTCTTAGTAAAGACTCTCCACGACTTCCTGTCCTGTGTCACTCTTAGTAATTTTTTGGCTATCTCCCCTAAACCCTATTCAACCAACCATTTTCAAAAGCTCGTTAGATTATGCGCTGATTACTTTCGTCACTCTTACCTTCAATATGTTCTGTGAGTGTCAAATTTCTTAAGCCTTCTTTCCTCATTATGAGTCCTAGAAATTTAACGGTGTCTTTCTGATGTTGTGTGTCGTTTTTGTTTCCATTTTCTCTAAAACTTTGTCGTTGGCTAACATGTTCAATTCATGGTATTCTCAGCATCCTTCTGTAAAACCAGGTTTCTGTTGCCTCCACTCGATACTCCATCTCTGAGGGGTTTGTCCAGTATACAGTGTACGTAGAAGGAATGATATTATATAATACTCCAGTACTCTTTTCTCTATTTGTAACGATATTTTTCTGTTTCTTAAAACTTTGACTCGCTTTTGGAAAGCTTCCTACACTATTTCAATGCACCTCTGGATTTTGGAGTCGAACTTTTAGTCTTTTGTTGAAAAAAAAAAAAATTTTCCCAGATATTTAAAATGATGGAGTTTGTGTGGATGAATGAAAAAAGAACATGGAGAAAGATGGATAGTAATGTGTTAAAAGTTACTTTGAACAACAAAAAGCAGGAAATAGTGATGAGCCATGTACGACCACGCCCTCATGGGGCATGCAGATAAAAAAAAAGGAAATAATTGATTTTTTTTTTCCAAATGATGAATTCAGTTCCTTGGCGTATCCTGGACAGAATGTCTTAAGGGATTTCGTTTATACTTGCATTCTACTTTTTCCTCGATGTCGCCCTATTTTTCTTTACGTCTCTTTATTCTACTATCTCTCTCACTTTCTCCATTTCTTCTGTTTTCCTCTCTATTTACTTCTCTCTCTATTTCTCCATATCCGTCTATATCTCTTACTTTCTCTTTGTATCTATATCACTCATTCGTTCTCTATGACTTTTACTCTCTACATTCCTCTTAATTTCTCTCCTTCTATTTGCAGGCGTTTGTCTTGTTCATTCTTTTTCCCATTCTCCTACGCTTTCTTTCCTTTATTTCTCTATTTCTTTGTACACACACATACACACACATATGTATGTGTATGTATGTATATATATATATTTATATGTGTGTGTGTATATTGCTCATTTTTCTTTTAATTATCTGTACTTATCCTTATCACACTCTCTCTCTCTCCTTCCACCCTTTCGTTCTTTCCGCTTCTATCTCTGTATCTATCACATTCACTCCTTTCTATATTTCTTTCTGTCTTTCTACTTCTAATATTCTGTCTATCCCCCATTATTATATTTTTTCTTAATATTGGGTTGGTGCATAATTATCAGGCGTTTTTTAAACAATATGTATTATGAAAAAAGAAGCACAACAATTCAACAATAACATTTTTAAATGAGTGATTTTTCGACACGCATTTTTACCACCTAAAAATAAAATAATATTTTTATTAAAAAAAGTAAACAAAACAGCACTTTTTATTAACAAATAATTCGCCTACAAAAACGCCTGATAATTATGCACCAACATAATATTTCTCGCTTTTCACTGTCTCTCTCTCTCTCTCTCTCTCTCTGTCTTTCACATTTTCTCTCTTTTTCTCCTTGTCCTTTTCTCTGACTCTTTTCTTTTCTCTACGTCCCTACTGTCTATGCTTCTGTCTTTATTTCTGTTCATATTACTCATCTCTCTTTCTTTCTCCCTTCTTTTTTTTCTGCCTATCAGACAGTCTTATCTCGCTTTTTCTTCCTCTATCACTCTTTCTTTTCACGAATTTATTCCTTAAAAAAATCACTATTTTCAACTTAGAATAATTTTCTGTTGATACATCCTTCTCGTCCAACGAACATTAATTATTCATTTTTATGATAATCTTGTTTTCTTTTCTTTACTTTTCTTTTTTTTTTTTTTTTCTCCTTTTCGCGTAGACCGCACTGGTGGGTTGATTTTATTGCCAGTCGAGCTTTTAAAAAAATTATCTTCCGAAGCTGGAAGATAAATACTTTTTCATTATTTCACATGTTTTTCGAAAAATATTTTTATCTTTCACGTTTTTCATGGAGTATTTCAATTTATATGTTTTTCTTGTCCTAATTTCAACTCTTATATCCATAAAATGTCATTCGCTTAGATATTAGGAATTACATTGGGCCGGAAAGTTTTCAGAAACCCTCGTAAATGTTTCCATCAAGACTACATCTGAACCATTCCTTTCGATGGATTTTATTACAAACACTGAAGTCTTTAAGTGTGACGGTGGATTCAGTATTGAGGCTATGCTACAAAAACAGATTTTACTAGTGAGGGAATATATAAAACATGAAAGACTATCGCCTGACAAAACTCCTATTATTCAATGATCACGTCTTTAGTCAACAAGAGTCCGCCATAAATAAAGTTAAAGGGATAACCTTAAATGGGACCACGTTATTTACTAGAAAAGGTAACTGGTAGACATTGACTGATCGACATGGAACTACAAGGTTTTCTGTCATTCCTTCTTGAATCCAACCACAGAATTATAGCAGAGGAGAGCAGAATCCAATACATTTCGGTGACTTTCAGAAAATCCTCTGATACTGACGGTCTTGCGAAAGGTTTGGAGTTCACAACAATAAGCCCCTTCAGGAGACCAAGCAAGGATAATATCAGTTATGTGCCATGCGTGATACATGCTTAAGCGATCACGTCTTACGCGATCATGTATCTTTCGATATATGACTGACGAGGCAGATTTTTCCCCACAGTCTGTTGCCATTTCTTTCTGTGTCCTGATCTGTCCTGTTATCTATCCATAGCTGGGATAGCACGTAAGTGAATGCAATGGATTCGAGTGGAATTCGAACTCGGCTCTCCGATTCCTCATTCCGAGCCGCTATCCATTACTCCAAGGTACCTCCTATTTTCTGTCTGCCTGTTTTTGTTAATCTGTCTTATACGGGTCAGGTGCTAAGAGAAGAATAGATTTTCCAGCCATTTACGCAGGAAAAGGCAGAAAGTTTTAATTTTTAAAAGAATTCACTTTTATTTCAAAGTTTTAGTTTTTGTTTGTTTTCTTTTTACTTGTTCTTTTCTTGTTACTTCAGAAAGAATACAACGTTGGAAAAGTTGACAGAAACGGAAGGAAAATCGTCAGTTTGAACACAAACTGACATGACTGTGAAGACGAAATTAATTTGCCTCGAAATTTCTACATCGGAAAACTTTCGACTGATTCTGTAAAATTCATATGTTTTTTATTAATAATCCTCGAATTTATTAGATAGACCACTTTTTGTTTTTGGTATTTACTCTGTTAATACTTATTATATTTAATTTGCACTGGGTACCCCATATTTTCGGCCTTGTGCCATATCTAAGCTACGCTTAGAAAATCATCTTCGGGCAATTAAACGTGGTGTAATGATTAGCAAGTTTTTTTTTTCGCTTTATCAGTTACGACTGAAACTTGAGTTTGGTCCCAACTGAACGCTCCCAAAATATTGGCATTTTGTCTAAGCTTAGAAAATCACCATATAATTAGTTTGAATGAAAGTTTGGGGTATTTTTGTTAGAAAGTTATTATCACAGATGACATCAAACAATTTTTTTTATATATAAACTTGGGTATAGTCCTCTAATACTATTTATGAATACTCGTGCAAATATTTTCAATTACAATTGAAATATACATTATTTTTCCATTCCCCAACAATAAACTAATCCCACCCTATCATATTTAGTTCACAAGACACATAAAAAAACATTAGCGTGAATTAATCGAATCTAGATCTAGCTATCATTGAATAAAATAAATACTTATGTAAGAGGCATGGCGGAGTAATGGATAGCGTTTCGGATAAAGGAATCGGAGAGCCGAGTTCGAATTCAGTCGAATTAATTACATTCACTTACGTGCTTATAACCTTGGGAAAGGTATGAATCCTCTTCTTCCCTTCCCCCCCCCTGCTATGGGTACATAGCAGGGCAGACCGGATGGCAATAGAAAGAAATGGCAACGTACTGCAAGAAAAGCTAAAAAAAAATAGATATATGTCCAGTTTACAATAGAATCAAAGTAATTAAACAGGTTTATACTAGAGTTAGGAAGTACGCACTATGAATGTAGACCAATTTTCAGGGATTGTTACCCCTAAGCTTTGAGGTTTAGCTACAAATATGAGGGCACACAATGAGAATCGAACTCACTACAGTAGTAATGACCTGGGAAACTACTTTCAAACCACTATACCACCAAAAAGTATTTACTTGAGTTACCTTAGCCTGATGAAAAATGGCAAGCAGAAAATTCTTAGTGAGGATTGAACTCACTAGAAAACAAATAGATTGTATGGCTAATTTTCAAAGCATCACAATAGGATAAGGCATAGTTTTTTTAAATTTTTCATTGCATTTTTTTCATTTTTTTCCCATTTCTTTACTTCTTCTCCCGCCTACTCCTCTTTCTTCTACTTCTTGTCATCATCATTATTATTATTATTATTATTATTATTATTATTATTATTATTATTATTATTATTCTCTTTCTTTTTCCTTCTCCTCTTCTTTTTCTTCTTCTCCTTCTGCTCATCCTTCAGCTCATCCTCCTTCTTCTCCTCCTTCTTCTGCATCTTCTCCATTTTCTTTTTCTTTTTTTATGGATAGCGTTTAATTCATTTGTTTCTAAAAATTTTCCTTTTCATAGATTTACATTATCTTTGTTTTCTAATCTTTCCCTGTTTTCTGTAACTTTTCCCTTTTCATTTCTTTCTTTTGCCTTCTTCTTTTTTTTCTTTTAGAACTTTTCCTGCATCATTCATTTTTTTTCTTTCTTTTTTCTTACTTTCAATTCGCATATCTTTATTTATTTCTCTATTTTTTACGTTCTTCTTCTTTCTTCAATTTCTTCATTTTTCACCTTCTCTTTCTTTCCCTTCTCGTTCCGATATATTTATTATTTTTTTTATTTCTTCCTTCATCTCTTTCTTCAGACTCATTTATATTTTATATCTTAATTTAGTTTTCCGTCTTTCGTTTTCTTTTTTCTAATTTTTCTTTCTTACTTTCTTTCTTTCTTTCTTTCTTCCTTTGTCTTCATGCCCACTCTCTCTCGCTATTTCATTCATTTTCTTTCTTTCTTTCTTTCTTTCTTTCTTTCTTTCCAATGATCGCCCTTTACCTTTTTTAGACATTTCTATTCCACCTTTCTTTCTTTCTTTCTTTCTTTCTTTCTTTCTTTCTTTTTTTCTTTCTTTCTTTCTTTCTTTCTTTCTTTCTTAGTCTTAATGCCCACTCTCTCTCGCTATTTCATTCATTTTCTTTCTTTCTTTCTTTCTTTCTTTCTTTCTTTCTTTCTTTCTTTCTTTCCAATGATCGCCCTTTACCTTTTTTAGACATTTCTATTCCACCTTTCTTTTCTTTCTTTCTTTCTTTCTTTCTTTCTTTCTTTTCTTTCTTTCTTTCTTTCTTTCTTAGTCTTCATGCCCAATTCTCTCTCATTATTTCATTCATTTTCTTTCTTTCTTTCTTTCTTTCTTTCTTTCTTTCTTTCTTTCTTTCCAATGATCGCCCTTTACCTTTTTTAGACATTTCTATTCCACCTTTCTTTCTTTCTTTCTTTCTTTCTTTCTTTCTTTGTTAATTTCTTTTGTGCTCGACTTTTTTATTTCGATTTTAACTTATTCTTTTCACCTTCATATTTTTTTCCATTTTCCTCTTTTCCCTGTTTAATTTTTCTTTAACATCTTTCTTACTTTCTTCCCTTGCGTCTTGAAGTGCCTTTTTTTATTATTTATTTATTTTTCTGCTTACCTCTTTTTTTTAGTCTATTTCTTTATTTTTTCTTTCTTTCTTTCTTTATTCTTTTGTTTTTCTTTTCTGGATTTCTTTCTTTCTTTATTTTTCTTTACTTGTTTATTATTATCATCCTTCTTCTTTATATTCTTTGATTTTTTCCAGATTTCTTTCTTCTTATGTTTGAGTCTTCCATTATCTTTCTTCTTTGTGAATACTAAATACGTTCAAGTATTTACAATATCTTTTCTCATTCTTGTCCATCTCATGTTACTTCACGGTATTCAACCCCCGGTTTCCATCCGCGCCTCGGCTACCCCCCTCCCTCCCAGAATTACCATCTATAATTAAACAGAGCTTTATTCGCCTCTTTATGATGATTCATCAAGATAATCCTGTTTCTCTTGCTACTTCCATCAGCTTCATTCATCAGTATTTTCATTATTATTCCTCTTGTTTACGTTTGTGAAATGATGGGCGTTACTCTTCAGACAAACCCATCATCGCACACGCTTTTTATGCGAAAAACATAATAGATAAGACAAAACAAGAACACAGATGCTTGGCTCTATTTTCAGACAGGCGTACATACATAAGGGAAAATAAAAACAAGTATTAACAGAAATATACAGATAAACACAAAAATGCTCATAAACATGATTTATATTTAACGACACACATATAAATAACACGCCATATATTTTGTACATACATTAATACACACACATATTGCAGTGCTAATAGTAATATTAACCGTTTATTTAAAGAACATTTTCGGCATTTACTGACCGAAAAGCCAATACGCCTGTCGGTTGAAATTTATAAATTATTATTAAAACAATATAGAGTTCACTGCCATTGCATTTGTTAGTTTGGTTTGGTTTGGTTTACCGCATATTAACCTCAATAGGTTATTTAATGCCGAGAATATTTTTACACATGATAATATTTTCTCCAAAAACGTATTACTGGTAATATTTTTTTCCAAAAATGTATTGCTCGTAATATTTTTTCCAAAAATCTATTGCTGGTAGTAATGTATTGCTGGTAATAAATTTTTCCAAAAATGTATTGCTGGTAATATTTTCCCAAAAATCTATTGATGCTATTAATGTATTGTTGGTAATATTTTTCCCAAAAATGTATTGCTGGAAATACTGTATTGCTGGTAATAATTTTGTTCTTCAAAAATTCATTGCTGGTAATAATTTTGTTCTTCAAAAATTCATTGCTGGTTTAATTTTTTACAAAATTGTATTGCTTGTATTAATACCTATTTTTACACTTTCATAATATTTTGACTCCAGTTTGGACGTTAACCATAGCTGAAACCCTAACTGAAACCCTACCACCCCGGGTCAAACCCCAGCAATTAAGAGGTGGTTCCATGCTCCTCAAAACCTCCTGATCAGAGAATTTACTGTTGAATGTAGTTTATCGTCTTACCCACGGCGCGGATGTAGTTTATCGTCTTACCTAGGACGCGAATGTAGTTTATCGTCTTACCCAGGACACAGATGTAGTTTATTTGTCTTACCCCGGAGACGGATGTTGTTTATCGTCATACCCAGAATGTGATCTTTGTTGGATTTCCTTCCTAACCTTTTGTTTGAAGTAGTGGGGACAATCATTATCATGTGATATCAATTTTAAATGTTGAAAGTTCTCTCGTGATATGGTTTATGTTATTTGGTATATTTAATTGATTATGATTGTGTAGCGCCAGTAAACAATGTTCGAAGTATAATGGTCCTCACTAAGATATACAGGTTTCCCTCATTCAAAATCCATTTTAATCATTGATATGAGAAAGCGGCTGTATTGAAGAGACACGGTGGAGTAATGGAGTAATAGAGAGCAGGAATCGGAGAGCCGAGTTCGAATTCCAGTCGAATCCATTAAAATCTAATACCCTTGGGAAATGTATGAATCCTCTTCTTCTCCCCTCAGCTATGGGTAAATTGCAGGACAGACCGGGTTCTATAGCGTTGGATCGCAAATGATCTCCTGCAGAAAGAAATGGCAAAATCTGTTTCGTCACTCATGTATTGAAATATACATGATCACCTAAACATGTATCACGCATGGCACATGACTGACTGATACATCCCACAGCTTAAAGATTTTTGAATGAGCGTGGCGCCATAATTAACAAGGCTAGAAAAGAGCATTACTCGAAATTTTAGTTTAATGTTTTGGTTTTGTAGCAACTTGCAGTGTTGTGTGAAACTACACCTAACACTGCCTTTTCTCTTTTCAATTTCCTTATCTCCTATACTAAATTCATACATCGATCCACATGAAGTGCTTTTATTTCAATTCCAGATCAGTTTCTGTTATAGAAACTTTTACCTTGAACCCTATCTCTGAGAACACTTTGCAGTGGAAGTTGATTTTTTTTTTTATTCAGCATCATTTTTATCTCAGTTATTAATATCTATGTCATTGGCAAAGCCTCTTCCCTTCATCATCAGTACAATGGGTCGCAAGAGGGAAGGCAGAGTATTTGTATATATGCAGGACAAGATAAAATACATTTGGTTTGAATTTTTCCGTATTAGGATCATCGCCAGACATATATGACTTTTTGAATCTATTTACTTCTTCTATGCTATCTACACATTCGATGGTATTAGAACTCAGACGACGTTTCTTATGGATGTCTCTATACATGTGGTCATATTCTACTGGGAAGCCAACATATATATATATATATATATATATATATATATATATATATATATAAAAAAAAAACGCACATCACACCAAAAATAACTTGGAAAATAAGGAAAAGATCATCAGCCTACTACAACCAATCAAAAACTTGCAAACTTTGCTTGGAGGAAAACATAGCTATAATTAATTTCCCAGACCAAAATAAATTATTAAATAAAAGATCCGAGCTCATCTCAAAATGCAGACATGAAAACAAATTCTTACTACGTTACTTAAAAATCGAAAACGGAAAAAAATAAAATAAAAATAAAAATAAATAAATAAATAAACAAAATAACAATAAAATAAGCAAAATTAATTAAGCCAAACAAATTACCAAATCACACCTGTTAGAATAGACGAAATAGAATAATAATAAAAAAAAAACCCAACGAACCCCAAAAAATAAAGTAAATAATAAACAAATTAGCAAACCATTATTACCAAAATATTAGTTAGACTATAAAAATCAAAGCAAAAAAAAAAAATCGGACGAAAAAAAAATAGCTATAACTGTTATATAACGATAAAAAAAAATACTACGTTACTTAAAAATTGAAAACCGAAAAAGAGAAAATATACAAAAATAAATAATAACAAGTAAAATAAATTGACCTAAATTCATTCAAATAAATAAATAAACCAATCCAATAAACTAACCGTTAGAAAAAACAAATAAAGATAATCAATCCAAATAAATACGAATTAAAAACTGTTCCCGCCAAAATAATAGTTAGAACAAACTACAACAATCAACCCCAAAATCGAATAAATAGCTTTAATTAAGTTCTCAAACCAAAACAAAACTATTAAATAAGCAATATAAACAAATTTTTACTACGTTAATAAAAACACCGATTAAAAGATAAATAAATAAAAAAATAAAATAAAAATAAATAAAAACAAACAAATTAATTTAACCCAAATAGATAAATAAATGCTCCCGGTAAAATAACCGCCAAAAGAGACTACCCACAATGCACCACTGACCCGTATATATATAAATAGCCGAGAAAAATAACAGCACTCGTGGCCTGACGATTGCATATAGCATGAAACAGACTGTCGCCTCTAAGTGTTGACTTCTATGTTCACTTATATATATATATATATATATATATATATATATATATGAAATGGACAAAGTCCGACAATTATTTTAAGGATATTTTTATGTTTGACATTCTTTTTATAGATACAAATATTTCAGCAAATGCCCTATTTCTAATAAACAGTATTAAATAACATTTACCGGTCTGAATGTCCGAGAAATTATTTAATAAATGTTATTTAATACTGTTTATTATAAACAGAGCATTTACTTAAATATTTGTATCTATAAAAAGAATGTTAAACATAATTATGTATTAAACATAATTGTCGGATTTTGTCCATTTCATGTGTGACGTCATTTGTTTACATTTGATATGCCATGAGCAGATATGAAAGTACGTGAGAGATTCATGGATGATTGAAATTTAAAAGCAGTAAATTCGACCTTGCTAACCGATCGATGATCTGTGGCAAAATCGGTAAAAGCACGTCTGGCTATATGATGGTTCCGTATAGGATACAGATTCGAATACTGTCGGAGGACGAATATTTTCTATGAAAATTTCTTGAACATTCAGGCCGGTAAATATTATTTAATACTGTTTATTATAAACAGAGCATTTACTTAAATATTTGTATCTATAAAAAGGATGTTAAACATAAAATGTCTTTAAAATAATATATATATATATATATATATATATATATATATATATATATATATATAAAAAGAAAATATACGGAAAAACAAACAAAATCCTAATATGCAATTATGCTGTTTTAATGTTAATATAATGTCAACGTCGGACGTTTCGGTTTAATAGACCATCTTCAGGACATATCCATAAAACATAATTAACAGTAGACTATATTTAATTCAACGTGAAAAGACGATGGACATAAGAGTAAGACTAATCCAAACAGAATAACTGAAATTTTTATAAGATCAGCGTTCCTTTTTAATATGATCACGTCGTCGTCACGTGGGCGATGTTGTGAAAACGTATTCGAAGATGATTTCAAAATATTAAATAAGATCGATTGAAATCCAAACAAGAAAATTTCGTTGATTTCTAACTTTTCAAAATTCAAACAAAATTCTCATTTGATCGATTTGTGTCTCGTAGTCGCACGCTTACATTATTCGGAATATTGTCCTCATCTTTGTCGCCATATTTATTACAAGCATAATAAACTCATCCACATGTAAAAAAAAGTTTTACTGTTATGGAAGCCTTAACAATAAAGAAGAAAAAGCCAACACTCACTAATATTAAGTACGAACACGGCCACGATGTGCTGTCTTTGGAATATAAAAGATCTCTATCACTCTAAAAACATGCACACAACCCATACACCTAGTTAAAAAGAATAAATAAAATCACCCTTAATAATGGCTGAAAATATAGACGAAAGAGCTAGGAATTACGGAACATTTGGATACAGTCTGTGTTCAGAAGAGGAAATACTTGTTCGAACACTAGAAAAATTAACTAAAATGCTTGATGGCAGTATCTTGTCTGTCGTCTTTGATGAAACATGTATAAATCAAGGAATTCTGCCTAAATACACGTCATACACAC